AAAGGGTGAGCTATTGGCTCCAGTTGGTTTGTTTGGAGCGAATCTATTCTCAGCTGATTCTAATAATCCACTTTGGAAAAAGCACAGAACATTGGCTAATCCAGTATTCAGTAACAGTTCTCATTTAAGGAATGTTTTTAGAGTTACAATGGAGGAATTAGCAAAGATGATTCCATACTGGACTAAATATTATGATTCAGATTCTAATGGAAATATTCGAAATGTTAACACTACACAAGAGTTGAAGTCTATTACATTAAGCATTATCAATAGAGTTGCATTCGATTTCAATATAGAGATATTTGATAAGAATCCTGAACACAGAGACGAAGTACATGGTTGGATTTCTGATTTATTAGTTGGTTTATTATACAAGTTTGTATTCCCTGAATGGTTATTCGAATATGTTCCTTTTGGAATTTTCAAAAGATTTAAAGATGCAAAGAATAGATTCAGAGAGACAGCCATGAAGATGATTCTCAAAAAGACAAAGGAATATGAGAATGCCAATCAAGTGAAAGAAGATGAAGATTTACTAAGCTTATTGTTGAAAAGCTCCAATAATGGTAAATTAACAGAGGAAGAACGTTTGACAAATGACGAATTGGTTAGTGCCATTTTCATTATTTTCTTTGCTGGATTTGAAACAAGTTCCAATTCTTTGAACTTCATGTTGAGATTGTTGGCAACCAGACCAGAAATACAAGAAAAACTCATTGAAGAAATTGATAATGAAATTCCATCCATGGATTCAATCAAATCAAAAGAGAGTTTAATAAACTTAAATATTTTACAACACTCAATTTAGCGCTTATTTTCTTGTAAACGTTTCCCGTTAATCAAAATTCCAGTTAAACAATAAAATGATTATCGTCAGTGCTGTCCATATTATTTGACCCATAGCAATACTTTTCTCTAATGAGTCTTCTTTCTTCTAGTTTCCATGTCCTTTCTACTAATCTATCAATGGAATAAAATGGTATTAAACAAGAGGCTAATGTACATTCTCCTATTATTCTCATGTTTCAACAGATTTATCAGTTATGTGGTTTAATAGGTTATACTTCAGCTATGAATATGGGACCACTTGCGTTGACTGGAACTTTTCTTGGTTTTGAGTTTGCTGGTTATTTATTGAGCTTGACCTTGTGGATATATATTCAGGCAGTCATCATCAAAGTTCTTTATGGTGTCTACTTTAATGAAAATCAGGCATGGATGAGACATTCGAAAGTTCATTCTATTTGTAAGAAAGTGGTACTAATCTCAACGATCGCTCTGGTTGCATTTTTCAATTCATTGTTGATATTGACCGTCC